CTCCCTCACTCCCTCCCTCACTCACTCACACTCACTCACTCACACTCACACACCCACACCCCCAAGCCCCGACCTCAAAACCCTCCAGAAAGCCTGGTGCTCCAAAAGGTCCCAGTCTTCGGTTGCATCTTTTGATCAAGCTCTCAGGTTCGAAGAAGAGGGCCGGCAGATGAAGGCCCAGCATGCAGAGCTGATGGAGCAGCTGGCCGAAAGCTGTTGGGTGTAGGGTTTCCTATAGGAGCCCCTCCCCCTGGTGGAAAGGCTATCGGCATAATCCATCGAGGAGATGTCCCGAGTGTTTCTGCCAAGAGGGTGCCTCCCCTGAGTTGCAAGTAAAGCTGTGGGAGAGTCTTCCAGGTGAGGACAAAGATTGGTTCAAGCATCGTGGTGGAAGGGCATCACAGGTGGTTGCAGGTGCGAAAGGACGGGAGGATAACACTGCTTTGCACAAGCTCTACTAATTGATTTAGGTATGCGGCTGCGTGGTGCCGCAGGGCCGGTAGATGCTATGCTGATAGGCATGGCATGTTTGGTATGTAAGTCTGACGCTCAGAGACTTGCATTCATGCATCTACTTCTGTCAGTGCATCCTACACTCATGTTCGATACACCCTATCAGAGCCAAGGCAGCTGCGCGGCGAGAAGGACGACCGAGTGCAGGAGCCACCCACGCGCATGTGTCCGGCTAAAGGTTTCTGCTAGGACAAGCCGGCAGAAGCGCGGGGAAGGAGTCGGCAAAAGAAGAATGATATCACCGAAAGGCTCTAGGACCGTGTTCAAGGCGCCCAGACAGCGATAAGACTCTCAACCTTGCTTCCAGTTACGACAACCTGTTTCTCAAGCCTAAATCTCGAAAGCCCCAGTTTCGCAATGATGCCGCAAGCCCCGTGTAAAGCAGTGCAAATGCCCTCAGGCCTTATTGCCCCTGATTTGAAGTTCTTCTTCAGGAGCTCCGCACCGAGTTGTCCGAGCGTCGACGTGCGGCGGAGCTGGAGGCAAGCTGGTAGCTTGGGGTTTATAGGGTTCCAAGGTCCAAGGAGTGCAACAGAGACAACTTATCATAGGCACATGGTGACAGACTGTTGATGACACACACACACACATATATATATATATATATATGTTCATTTATTTCTTTATTTATTTATCTTTATATATGCACATCCTGCATTACCTCAAGGGCCGTAAACTATGGGAATTATGGTATATTCCTTATTATGGGTAATGCTGGGTTTATATCATCAACCGTAGTGCCTGAGATGCTTCTGCTAACCCTATGCAATACAGTATCCCCGTACCGTTCCTAAACATAGGCAGAGTATCAAAAAGAACCCCAAACCCTGCTCCGTATAGCTCCAAAAATAGGTACAGTACGCAAAGGTCCAAACGCCACCTGCCTAATGCAAAGCAGTTTATAACTCCCCTATTGATAGTCCCTTAAGGAGCCTTGTAGTAGTCCCTATAACCCTAGAGCCCTAAACCCCTATAGCAGTCCCTATAACCCTTAGGTGATAGGTAAGACCTAAACCCTAAACCCTACAGACAAGAGGCAGTACCAAAGCTTCTTCAGCTCCGGCTCTGGTCAAACCGGGTACTGGAGTAGCCTGGGATGGGTTTAGGGTTTGGGGTTTAGATGGGTTTAGGGTTTAGGGCTTAGGGTTTAGGGTTTAGGGGTAGCCTGGGATGGGTTTAGGGCTTAGCTGACAGTTTTCGACATGAGAACCAGAAAGGGTCTAAGAATTCCTTCGGGTACTCCAGATCCGCGGATAGTAGTCTTGCCGCGATGCAGTTGAGCTGTATTGCAGTTGTTTTCAACTAGGCCCGAAAAGGGTCCTGGCTGACAGGGATGCTATGTGTGCGGAAGTCGTCGGGGGACGAGCTGATCTCTATTCCCCTGGAGGAGGTTAGTGACGTGAGGAGCGTGAAGCGCCGTATTGCTAGAGTGTACAGGGTGTCACGCTTCAGACAGAAGCTGGTCCATGGAGCCACCGTCCTGGAGGATGATATCCAGATAGATGAGCCCATGGATGTGACACTTTCACTGCTACATTGGGCCACCGACTCTTGGGAGCGGAGAAATGAGCTCGTCGACGCGGCGGAAGATGGCCTTCTGGTAGATGTTGAGCTCATGCTGCAAAGGCCTCAGAATCCAAACTGTCCGGATCAGCGTGACACGCTGCCCTTGACGATGGCAGCAAGTCAGGGCCATGCAGATGTGGTGAGTTTGCTCTTAGAGGCTGCAGCAGACCCCTCCGGTCAGGGAGACCAGGCGGTATACTGTGCAGCTGGCCCTGGATACACAGAGATTGTTCAATTGCTGCTGGACGCCCATGCAGACACGGACTTCGTGGACAACCAAGGCGACACGGCTCTGTCCCTGGGCAGCAGTTTTAGGGTTTAGGGTTTAGGAGTATAGCTGCTTCTCGGGCTCGTCTTGGGCATTTTGTGTTCACCTGCGCAATCCGGAAGACAATGAACTGTTGGCTCTTTCGGAACAGTCCCACGTGCTACATCTCTTGGAGGCATATGTTTTTGGGGCAGGCTGTTCCCTGCCCTTTAGCTGAGCTTCGATCATCAGGCGAATGCAGCCCAACCGAGATGGATCTATTCAAACTGCACTTGCTTCATCCGTCTCCTCCGAGCTCGTTTAAGCCTACGTTCTGCAGATTGATGCTTACATTAAGCATTATATACATATATACACATGCTTGCATACATACATACATACATACATACATACATGCATACATGCATACATACATGCATACATGCATAAGAACTATGTGTTTGTCTCTGTTTCTCTCTCTGGCTGTTTGTCTGCCTCTCTATCTCAATCCCAGTCTCTGTATCTATCTTTACCTCTGTCTCTGTCTCTATCTCTCTCTTTATGACGAAAGGTAGCTCTTTGGAGCTTGCGAGAGTTGTCGTTTACAAACCCTCTTCCTCTCTAGTGTTCAGGTGGTTCAACAAGCGACTTCCGGGCCGTAACTGGTATGAAAAGCCCCGTCTCCTGTAAGATTGACTTGAGCAATGTGAAGGTCTGCCCCCCCCCCCCCCCCCCCC